CCCAAAAGATGGGAGAAAGTAGTGGCCAGTGATGGACAATACTTTGAGTCATAACTTTATCTCCATTTTTTTACAATAAAGCCTCAAATTAAAAAAAAACGGCGAAAGCAAAGTTGTACACCTAATAGATATTTTATGTATTCGCACCATTAGCATGGTAACGGCCAAAAAATTATACGTTTCGGGAACAGTAGTTGCATTAGAACTATTGGGAGTACAAATTAGTTTGGCCCGTTTTTTGTGGTCAAAAATGCATTTATTTCAGAACAAAATGAGTGAATAGATTAATCAAAGTATTGTCCATCGATGGCTACTATTTTTTCCCACCTCTCAGGCAACTTTCGAATTCCATGTCGAAAAAATGTCTCGTCTTTTGAGGTGATCCAAGTTATGAGCCAATTTTCGATTTCTGCGAAAGAAGTGAACCGGTGACCTGCCAAATCGTGCTCGATCCGTCGGAACGACCAGTAATCAAAAAGAGCAATGTCCGGCGAATACGGCGGGTGCGGTAAAATATCCCACTTGAGCGTTTCCAAATAATTTTTTATGACTTTTGTGATATGAGCGTTATCATGCAGAAGAATAACTTGGTCATGTCTTTGCTCGTATTCCGGCCGTTTCTCTCGTAATGCACGGCTCAAACGAATCAATTGTAGCCTATACCAATGGCCCGTAATGGAATTGCCAGGTTGTAGTAGCTCATAGTATACAACACCCTTTTTTTGGCTGTCCAGAGCAAGGCTTGCCTTCAACGCTGAAATCACCATTCTTGAAACGTCGAAACCATTCCCTACATGATTTATCAGTTGGGGCATTGTCACCATAAACTTCTACAAACATTCGATGCGCTTTAGCTGCACTTTTCTTCCAATTAAAGCAGAAAACTAAAACCTCCCGCAAATGCTGCTTAGTTAACACAAAATTTGACATATTCAACACAGTAAAAAACAGGGGTTTTGTATGAAACTCAAAGCGATATAAACTGAATATTATTGACAGATGTCTAACCTCCCTGAAACTACCGAAATCAGTTGTCACTATGAAACATTCATAACAGCCAGAGTCATCTTTTGAAAACGGACTGAACTAATTTGTATTCCCAATATTTATATCGCCTCTTGTACTATTTTTGAAAGATTTGTTACTTTGCTAGACAATGAATTCTATGAGCTCTTCCGAAAAGAAAATTTGAAATGTTTCGAGAATAGATGATTTCCTAGTTATATTTGTTTTGATTTCACTATTCTAATCATCAAATTTGTAAATTGTAGGTTGAAAATCTGTGTCCGGAAAATGTGGTTTTACGTTTTGTTTGCTTTGGTGCTATTATCTTCTGATTCCTATGAAGAGAATGAAAGGCAACGTTTTTTCAATTTACATTTGTAAAAAGGAACAGGCATTTAAAAATCACTTGTTTCTTAAAAATTAGAATTATCTGGTGTATCATGTTTGCATGTTTTTCTGTTCATTTTCTTATTCCAATGTTTCACTCTAGGGATGAAACAAAAAAAATTACTGTAAAATTAAAATTTAAATTGTGGAATGAGAAGCGATATGGAACGACTCGATGAGGTGAGAATAATTACCACAGTACGAAGTGATGTCTTCAGAATTCGTTTATTGTCTGCTCCGGACGATGCGAACAACGGAGCGCGTGCTTCCACTCCCTCTAACTTCCCTTCTTTTAATATTTCGCTAATATTAAATATTTAAATAGCAGGTGACTAACGAAATATGTACCAGCAAAATTAGCATTCACTCTCGTCTAACTGAGATAAGATCTATCAGAATAAATATCGATAAAATTTTCAGGACTCCTTTAGGCGCCCTCCGTGTCAGAAAGCCAAACTGCGTCGAGCGCCTATAGGCGCTCTCAGTATCACAAACGAAAAATTTCTAAACGCCTATAGGTGTCCACAGTAGCCTAGGGATTAAATGAGACAGGAAATCGGAACTCGGAAAACCTACCTCCGAGAACACAGGCGTCCTACCGGGTTGGTCTTGTAGAAACTCAAGACCCGCCGTCCTACAAAGAAATTGTAAAAGTGATAGGTAAGCTAAGGAATAATAAAGGGATGTGATGGAATTCCGACTGAGCTAATTAAGTTTGGAGGAAAACACATATTCTCCTCTATGCATGAATTAATCTCGGATATATAGACACATGAAAGGATGCCGAGGGAAAGAGAAATTGCTGTATACAAGGTCTGCTAAAAGTCCCGAAACGACTAATTATTTAAAAAAAATGTTTGCAGCAATAGTTGTAGGGTTTAAAAAAAGCTATCATTCGATATTGATAATTGTTTGGCCTTAGAATGATCTTGAAAAGCGTTCTTATGATCAATATAAAAATCTTAAATGAAACTCCTTAGTTTTCGTTACATATTTTTATAGCTGACTTGTGCATCCATTATACACAAAGGGAGATACCCATTGCGAGAATTACAAGAGTATAGCGCTACTAAGCGCAGGCTACAAGATTTTAGCAAACATAATATGTGACAGGATCCATCCATATCTCGAGATGATCATTAGTAAGTATCAGTGTGGCTTCATGAGAGATAAATCTACAAGGTTTTTCAACAAAAGTGTTCGAAAAAGTGAGGTTAGTTTTCACATGTATTTCATTGACAGCGACAAACAAACTAGACAGCTGACAAGTAGAAAGTAGTAAGTTTTTAACCATGGAAAGATACACATTACAGCAACGCATTCAGATTGTTCAATTGTATTATGAAAATGGACGATCAAATAAAAATGTATTTCGTAAATTGCATAAATTTTACACTCCACAACATCGTCCATCTGAGCAACATATTGGTCGAATTATTGCCAAATTTGAATCCACTGGATCAGTAGAAGACGTAAAAACAACAACACGCTGTCGTCCAGCCAGATCACAGGAGAATATTGATGCTGTCAGTAAGAGTGTTGTCGATGACCCAAACACATCGATTCCACGCCGTTCTCAACAATTGGGTATCTCTAAAACATCATTATGGCGTATTTTGCAAAAAGATTTGTCTTTAAAAGCATATAAAGTTCAACAGGACGGAGCTACGTGCCATACAGCCCGAGAAACATTGGATTTACTGAATCAGACCTTTCCGCAGCGCATAATTTCCAGAAACAGTGATGTCAATTGGCCACCCAGATCATGTGATTTGACGCCCCTGGATTATTTTCTTTGGGGCTACGTTAAAGAGCAGGTCTATAAGAATAATCCCACAACGATTCCGGAATTGAAAGATGAAATTTGTCGTGTCATCGGTGAGATAGAGCCCACAATGTGTGAACATGTGATTAAAAATTTTGACAAAAGAATCGTGGTCTGCAAAAAATTACGAGGCGGTCATTTGTCCGATATCCTTGTGCACACATAAACTTACTACTTCCTACTTTACAAATAAAAAAAAATTAATTTGATTCCAATGATAATTGTGTGTTTTATTTAACTTTAGTTTCGAACACTCTTGTTGAAAAACCCTGTATAATTAATCAAGCACATTTTCATGATAAGATAAATTCTAAAAATAATTAAAAAAAACGACGATAGCTAGAAAAAAAATGTACGACATCTCCACCTTTCATCTCTTCGTTGATTTCAAGGCAGTGTACGATTCTATTAAGAGAGATGAACTTTATGCAACAATGACAGAATTTGGAATACCAAAAGAACTGATAAGAATGACTAGGATGATAATATATTGCGTCCGAGAAAGAGTGAAAGTGGAGGGAGACACCTCACGAGAATTTGAGATCACAAGAGACCTCAAGCAGAGAGATGGCTTATCCTGCATCGATATAACCTTTGAAAAAATGGTAAGATTGGCGAGTGTAGTAAATGATGGCCATATTCAATACCATACGCAATAAGTCTATTTAGATCTTGGGCTATGCCGATGACCTGGATATTGTGCTACCAGATCAAGTCCTATCAGATGTCAATATTTTTAAGACATTAATTAGACCAGTCCTCAGGTACGGATCAGAATGTTGGACACTCACATAGACGGATGAAAGAAATCTAAGAAGTGCCCCGAGAAGATTTTTCTCTCAAATCTTAAAAAATATCTGCGGCCTTGTATGTGAGGAGGGGGGTGAATGGAAAAAGAGGTACAATGAGAAACTCTATGAAATATATAAGGACCTAAACGTCGTTAAATATATCACTCTTGCGAGGTTGAGGTACATTGGACATATCTATAGAAGATCTGATGATGAACTGATTAAGCGAGACCTAAAACCATAGAAACCAGAGAGCAACAGAAAAAAAGGGCAAACCGAAAATGCACTGGTATTGTCGGAGATATGTGTAGATTGCAAATATCCAATATCCAATTAGAAGCAAAAGAACAAGGACCGCTGGAGCGAGTCGAGACTCATCCCATCCCAGGTTATAGCGCTAATGATAATGATGATGATTGCTCCTTCGAATTAGTACTTATTCCGATCTTTGCAAAACTTCCTTAATGGTAAAACATTCACTTTATTGAAGGACTGTAAAAACCACTTTCAGCCACTTCCTCGCTAAGAAAACGCTCAAGTTTTACGTGCGAGGAATTATGCAGCTGCTCAAAAGATGGCAAAAGATTATAGAAAACAACGGCACTTACATTACTGATGAAATTGTTTTTAAATAGAAATAAACTTCCTCCAATTTTGAACTAAAAATACACTTTCTTTCCAATCCAATAGCAGCGGTCCGCCGTGACTGTTTCACTCATTTCAGCAGCTAATAATATAATACACATTTTCAGTTCTACTACATACAGAGCAAAACCTTGGCGTGAATGGGGCTTTGTAATGGATTTCGCCAGTTAGCCAGAACCTATCTAGGATTTTCTGCGTTTAGAGTTATTATATAGGATCCATTTTTCATCATCCATAATGATTTGGTATAAAAAAATCCGTTTGTTTGAACTAACTTAGCAAAGACAGTGCGGTGTTATACCAGCGCGTTTTATTCTCAGTTAATTCATACAACATCTATTTTTCTTCCTTCTGAATTTTTCCCATGATGCAAACCCATTTGATGTAAACGATCGGAAATGTTTTTTGGCTGACTTCCAACTATTACGCAAATTCTTTTTGAGTTTGCACTGCGTTTTGATTAACAATGCTTGCAGTTGGTCCAATTCAAACTTGACGGTTCGTCCAGAACATGGTTGATCTTTCAGATCTAAATTTCTGTTGCGAAATTTTTTGTATCAATTTTTACATATTGCATGACTTACAGCATTATCACCATATGCAGTACAAATCATTTTGGCAGCTTCAGCAGCAATTTCCTTGAGATGAAATGCTAGGTGGATGGAATATCAAATATGCTCTTTGATTGTAGTTATCATGAACAATACTGACTTTTAAAGTATGTCGCTTGCTCCGCCATGTCACATTAATGTCAACAATTCAAAATTACAAAAAGGCAGGAAAATATTTTGATTTCAAATGTTACTCTGATCGATGCAAAACTTAAAACTAAGAACTTTCTACTACTAATATGTATGCAAGATGTCCCATTTTAAATGACAACCTCAAATTCTTGAACAATCCATTTAAAAGTAAAAAGGTTTTATATAAAAATTGGAGAGTTTAAAGAATCTATTTACTGATCAGTTTGACCGTAGGAGGCGTTAAGGTCAAATAAAGATCAATTTAATTTTTTTTCAATGGAATCATATAGTTTTTTTAACAAATCGATTCCTCTGCTCATTCTGTGTATAAAAATACTAAGATAAGTTAATCGAAAAATGAATATTTTTCGAGGTATTTTATTGTTTATTGTGATATTTTTCAATACAAGATATAAAATATCTTATAAAGCATTCACTTTTCGATAATATTATCTTAACATATTTCAACATAATAATATGAGAGTAATCTATTACTGATATTAATCATTGCATATTGGTACATCAATGTATTTGTAAAATATATGAATTAATTTTTTTAAGGTTTCTCTATGTGTGCTTACAGCGGTTAATTCCACCGGTCATTTTATGTCCAAAAATGTTAAGGTGATGTCGAAAACTGAATACTTTATGCATTTCATATCTTGTATTGAAGAGTATTAAAATAAAAAGTAAAATATCATTGTTCAAAAGATATTTAAAGTCATTATTTAAAATAATATATCCTGTGTGTGTGTGTGTGTCTGTGTGTGTATGTGCGCGTTTGCGTGCATGCGAGTGCGTAGATTAAATGTTTTATGTTAAATAATGGAAAGATATTCTTTTATAAGAAAATATATTTTCTTATATAATAATTTATATACTATAGTTGTAATAGATTACATTGGATGTCTGAGAATGGGGAAACTTGTGTGCAGATAAAGCGGATTAAACTGAACAAAAATTTTCTACTATTTTGCGAATTTCGCAATAATTATTAAAGGGACGTTGGAGCGACTACAGAACTCCAACAGGAGAATCAATAATAAAATCATAGATAATATTACGTTACGATGTTATTGATCTCGTTAAACATGCTTGTGCACGAGAAACAGAGAACGAAAACAATTGATAGTCAGTTTTTATCCAACTAAATTTCTTGCTGTTACGTTCGTATGAACAATGCATTGATGTATTCACATATTAAAACAGAACAGAGTAGCGCTTTTAATAGAAAATTTCAAAATTATATAATACTCTTTTTCAGTCTACTATCCCGATAATTTCATACACGTTAACACTAGATTTTCAGGCAAACTTTTTTTAAATTAGGTTTCTAAGCTAATTCTAATAGTTGAATAATATATTATAGCGCTGTTTGTATTCCGAGTTTTCCTTTATTCGCAGAATTTGTATAAAGCAAATATTATCTTTTGACAGCTATAGACGCTATATTGAAATAAAAACTAACGAAGTGAACTACAATTCTTAAAAGGTCAGACCAATAACATTCTAGAAAAAGCCTATTTTTAGAAATTAATTTTACAAAAATGAAATAACCGATTATTTTGTAACATTGCATATTTATTATAAATAATAAATTATCTATGAGGGTGAATCAAATATAAACGAACCTTTTGCAAAAAAACCATATATTTTTCAAAATCAATTCTAATTTACATTTTTCTTATTTTTCTACTTAGTCCCCCATCTTATCTATATACTTCCTCCAACGGTCTGGTAATATTTAATCCAGGTATTATAAAAAGTTTGCGGACGTGTATCAAACCAATTGCACACGAACTGCTGCACCTCCTCGTTCGTTGTGAAGCGTCCACCAAGGGCTTCCATGAGTGGCCCAAACATATGGAAGTCGCATGGTGACAGGTNCTTATTTATATACTTCCTCCAACGGTCTGGTAATATTTAATCCAGGTATTATAAAAAGTTTGCGGACGTGTATCAAACCAATTGCACACGAACTGCTGCACCTCCTCGTTCGTTGTGAAGCGTCCACCAAGGGCTTCCATGAGTGGCCCAAACATATGGAAGTCGCATGGTGACAGGTCTGGGCTGTAGGGTCGAGGACAGCCTTCTTCTAGGACAGCCCAGTGCATATCGACCAATTTTTGTTGTGTTACTGCTACGGTGTGAGGTTTGGCGTTGTCATGGAGAAGCAACACACTTCTGATCGGAATGCCGCGCTTTTTTGATCGATAGATAGCTCGAACTTGGCTGAGAAGATCACAATAATAGGCAGCATTAATGGTCCGATGTTCTTGAAAAAAATCGACCAGCAGAACGCCATTACAGTCCCAGAACACTGTGGCCAAAACTTTCCCTGCAGACAACCTTCTTCGCTTTCACCGGTATACCCTCGCCAGTCTTCCGTCACTCTATACTGGCTCTCTTTGATTCATGGGTGTAATAATGGACCAAAATCTCATTGCACGTGACGATTTTTTCCAAAAAAGCGTCATCTTTCTTGTACCTCGTTAGGAGCCTCCGAGAAATTTCAAACCGCACGACTTTCTGTTCTGCATTCAGCAACTTTGGAACCCAACGAGCCGACACTTTTCGAAATCCCAACTCATTGCAAATGATTGATTGCAAACTTCCATAGCTGATCTAAAGTTCCTGAGAGATTTCAAAAACAGCTAGGTGCTCGTCGCCTTCGATGAGTTCTCGAACAACCTCGGTGTTTTGCGCTGTGATGCTGGTGCAGGGACGGCGCGGGTGGACAATGTTTTCAACACGCTCCCGTCTTTTTTTAAATTCGTTACACCACTGCTTCACCCGAGCCCATGAAAGGGTTCTTTCCCCGAACTGTGAGAGTAAACAGCGCCGAATTTCAGCAGCATTTACATTGTCGTTGACGAGAAACTTAATAACACGTTGTGCATCTGCCGGGGTGTACCTCTTTCTCGCTCATTGTGATTGCTGCTGAGAGTAAAAAGCACGTGGCGCGCCAACGTTATTATTGCCTCCCTCCACTGTCCAAAACGTTGCAGACCCTTCACGTCGCCGACGGGCGCGTAATTTAAAAAGGCTCGTTTATATTTGATCCACCCTCATAAATTATTAGGTGGTAAACTTAATTCCTGCGGCTCACAGTTAGATGACGTTAGTTGTAGGTGTAATTTATTTTGACATCTGAAACTGGCTGCATTTTAGAGGTTAGACATTTGTCAATAAAATTCAGTGCGAAGAGATTCATTTAAGCGAGCAGTGCTATTTTTTCTTTTGATTAAATATGGAACGCGATAAGTTGTTTATTCGACATGTGCTGCTTCATTACTTTGACTTGAGAAAAACTGCAGCTGCAGCTCATAAATTGCTTTTCGAAGTTTATGGCAATTATGCTCCATCGGAAAGAACATGCCAAGTATGGTTTCAGGGATTTAAGATTGGTGATTTTGATGTCAATTATAAAGAACGCTCAGGCCAACCGAAAAAGTTTGAAGACACCGATTTGCAGGCATTATTGGACGAAAACTCTACTCAAACGCTCCAAGAATTGTCTGCAGCATTAAATGTTACTCCGATGGCTGTTTCCAAACGTCTACATGCAATGGGAAAAATTCAAAAGGAGGGAAAATGGGTACCACACGAATTAACCGCAAATGCCATTGCGAATCGCTTAAACATCTCTATTTCTCTGCTCGCCAGGCAGAAAAAGAAGAGTTTTTTGTGGCGCATAGTGACTGGCGATGAAAAATGGATATACTTCGATAATCCTAAACGAAGAAAATCATGGGTAGACCCTGGCCAACCATCGACATCCACACCAAAGAGAAATATTCATGGCCACAAAGCAATGCTTTGCGTTTAGTGGGATATGCAGGGCGTCGTTTATTATGAGCTATTGAGACCGAACGAAAGTATCATGGGGGATCGATATTAATCACAATTAAACCGTCTGAATGAAGCATTGTTGGAAAAAAGGCCAGCAGTAGCTAGCAATCGACGTAAAGTCATGCTTTTGCACGACAACTCTCGACCACACGTTGCCAAAGCCGTCAAAGAAACACTGATGCAGCTCGAGTGGGAAGTTCTCCCGCACCCAGCGTATTCACCAGACTTAGCTCCTTCGGACTATTACTTGTTCCGGTCGATGCAGCACGGCTTGGTGGATACACACTTCAGAAATTACGAGGATGTGCGAAAATGGATCG